TTGAGGCTTCCATTTGTCACTTGCCTTTATATCCCTATTTTGGCCTTATTTTTGCATGATTTGTTAGCCTCTTGTGCTTCTGTTTTTGGGCTCTGGTCCGAACTATAAATGTCCTTATTTTGACCCCCTCTTCATGTTTCAATGAGGGTATTTTACTGTTTGAGGCATCCTTTTTGTACTTTGTGCTATAGCTCTCTTTTTGGCCTTGTTTTGCATAGTATTTTGAGCATGCTTGTGCACTGTTTTGGATTTGATCATAAACTGTAAAAGGTCATATTTTGGGCCCCTCTTCAACATTATTGAAGGGCCCTCATCTTTTTGGAGCCGGCAGCCATCACTTCCTTCTTTGTATCCCTTTTGGCCCATTTTTGCATGCTAGCTTAGCCCCATTTGTGTTCGCTGTTTGGCCTTCCTTAAAACTGTAAATATGCTTGTTTTGGGACTTTCTTGAGTCTGTCTTTACATTTCATGTTCGAATAATGCATTCTTTGTATAGCTATAGGCCAATGCATATGCCTAGTTTTGTATTTCGGGTTCATTCCATGCATCGGGTGCCATGTTTCCATGTTTCAGGGCTGTTTTGCATAATATTTCAGCACTGAAATTTGCATGTTTGCATACCATGTTTCATGCCTTGCCATGCCTTGTTAGAGTGGTATTTGTGCCTTAGGTTCGGTCCTCGGTTTGCGTGCATGTGTGCACGCATCTCAAGTGTCTCATTTTCATCTCATGGCCTCCTATGTGAGTGTGGCTGAGGTCCACTCATGTTGGTGTAAGTTTCTCGTGCATTGTGTATGCCATTTCATTTCATAGTATTGTGTATGCTAGGCCGTATGTTAGCGCATTGTGTATGCCATGTTATCCCGTGCATCGTGTATGCCATTTCATAGCATGTTACATGTTAGGTTGTATCTTAGTTGCATTTCATGCATGTCATGCATATTGCATTGTGTTTGGGATAGGAGTTAGCCCGAGCACGGGAAACGAGGTACGTTTCGTACTCCGAGTGACGGAACGTGTCTCAATTTCCAGTCACCGACACTCCGGATTATCCATGATGGAGTTTAGGTTTTGTTGTGTTTATGTGCGCATTCATTCCATATTGAGTCATGCAAATCGACTCCTCGGCCATCATGCATCGATATGCGTGATTGGTGGCACGAGGATCGAGGACTACACTCCCTGAAGAGTAGTCACGCATACATGTGTGAAAATACATTGTCATGCCCCTTTCCTGCTCTCTGTTACAGCAAATCAAGAATCAGCAGTATTCCGGGGCTTGGCATGCTTTCCAAGAACCATTGCAAAACAGAGGCTAATTGGAGTGGATTTCCGTGCAAAGGCGACCCGGACATGCATCATCCATCATCTGAAGAAGAGTCAAGGCAGTCCCTGGCTTGCATGCCAGTTTATTGTTTTCTTAGTTAATTTGGTAATTAATTAGGATTTTTGTAATTATTTGGACTGTAATTATTTGGGACTGTATATTATTTATTCGGACCCTCTGCGCGAGAGCAATGTTGTAATAAGTGTGCGTGTGTGTGATGTATGTCTTCCAACCCCACGTCTTTCTCCCTTTTATTTACCAGCTTATGATGGTTAGATTAGGGCATGTTTCAATTAGCATACAGTATGATAGCATGTTTGCATTCATTCATGTCTGTTTTGCATGCACCGGGCTCCGTGCCAATATACTAACTGCATGTATTTTCAATTCAAGTTGAATACTGTTTAGCTGTAGCATTCATATGCCATGTTTAGAATAGCCGAGCCTGCTATAGTTGCATTTTTGCATGTGTTGCATTAGGCATCTTTGTATAGTTAGGATCATGCATGGATTTCTATTTAGCTTCTGTTTTGGCTGGAGTACTTGGTAAGTTTTATGTTTTAGCATCCTTGCATGCGTGTGATGACTGCCATGATAGCATGCTTACCATAGGCTAATTGCTTATGTGATATATCTGCCTGAATGCCTGTGGGTGAAGGTTGGTTATTTGAATTGAACAATTCATCAAATGTATGTTTTAAGCCTACTAGATAGTGGCAAAATCATGTTTCTAAGCCCCCCGAGGGTGCAAATCCACGTCTTAGCCTACTTGCGGGAGCACCATCAAACCTTTTCAATAAAACAACATGAAAGTTTGTTCCAATTCAGGCGATCCAGTCTATACTTGTATGCTGTGGGCATCCATAGTAAACCTAGGCTAATAACCGGAATAAGAATACACAATGTTTTCAAAACTTGATTCATGGTTAGTAGAGGCTGATCTTTGATCGGGCGAGCGGGGGTGCTCACGGAAAGTGACCTTCCCCAATCGTACCCAAGTTCCCGAGCCGAGGCAACTTTGGTGATGACGGACACGTGGCCTTAGGCAACGAGTCAGGGTTTTCTAAATTTCCCCAAAATAAAATATTTAGGTGGCGACTCTGTATCTGCCAAAGCAGTCCATGTTTGGCACTTCTTTCAAAATCTGTTTTCTCAAAACGATTTGCCGAATTTGGACTCTTTGGTTCAGATTACGAACCGTGACAATTTGAGAGTCTTGAGCTGTAGTGAGCCCAATATCGAACGGAACGGGGACTCGTTCCTCCCTGGGGCGGTCGGGGACGTCTACATAGAGTCATCATTTCCAACCAACCGAAGTTGAACGTCGACTGGAATGGAAAACTCTTGCCTAAAGTACTCTAGTTTGGAAGGGGTGTCTACTCTTCTCCTAAACATGCCCATTATCTCGGCTAAAGTGGGTTCGGAAAACAGAGTTATGATTAAACGGCTTGGAAAAGGGTTAAAGACCTCTACTAAATCCTAAAGGAACTGGGACAATGATTTTGAAGGTCTAAGGAGAAACTTGTTCTAAAACAAATCCCAAACCTAGAACTACAGAAACAAGAATCAAAGGATCTAACAACAAGCAAGAAAACAGAAAGAAACATGATTCAAAATTAGAGAGAAGCATAAAATATGGCAAGAACAGTGCCAGACATTTCTAGAAACACAGTGACAAAACTTTATGATGCACATAACCAATTCAATAGCAAGAATTTGTTTATAGGAAATAAAAACAGAGCACAAGTATGGATACAGATTCAATCGCAACACGAGAGTAATTACAGATACAATACAACACAAATCCAAAAGCAGGAGATATTACAGAACAAACGACCAGTACATGTAAACGGTTTCAAGAATGAGAACTAATTTGAAAAATCTAAATATGGCAATCAGAGTCGAAGAATATAGAATTTCGAGCAGCAAGGAACATACAAGTAGATTCATAATAAAATCATGTTCAAGAACAATGAAAAATTGACAGAAGAAATAAAGAAATCAGAAAATTACCGATTAAAGAGGAAGAAATGAACGCTGAAATGAAGATCGCCGGAGTTAGACAACAGGAATGATTAGAAGTAGATTATGAAAAAAACGCCGGAGGAGGTGAATGGAACAATCGCAAAGCTTGAAAATGCTTGAGTATGGCGGACTGTAGAGAGAGAAAGTTTGAACAGAGAGAAAACGAGAGAATGAGAAGTGAAAAGACGAAGAGAGAGAAGAGGGAGTTTTGTTAAAAATTCGAAAAGGCGACAAACCATAATGAAATGCTTAGGACAATATGCCTGTCAGGCGGTGGGGGTAGAAACGACGCAACTTGATAGCGCGTGTCAGGTGCGAACTAATAGCTATGAGACATGTGGAAGAAACGGTTAAAATGAACCATGCATGAAACTCATGCGCAATTAGAACTCTTGAAATTCTTGAAGTAATAAGGCAATAACCTCGGCTAGAGGAATAGCCTTAGCTGGGACATTTAAAGAACTTGATTCTTGGTTCTTGACCCTTGGTAAAGTGGACATTTGAGTCCTAGGTACTTGAAGCCAACGAAATGATCTCGGTCTTGAAGAAAAAATGAAATTTTAACCGACATGCTATATGGGGAAGCAATACAGGTTCCATTACCTCAGTTTGACCAGGTAATAGAACCTAGGGGGCAATTGTGGGGGATGTATTTTGTGAATGACAACATATGGCTAAAGAGACGCCGACGTGTCAGCCGAGGTGCCGCGTGGCTTGGTCATAGATCGAGGTGGTCTCGTCTAGGCCGAGGTTATCTGCGAAGATATCGAAATCTGAGATGAGCGAATAAGGGATAAGAGTTTTAGAACAGGAGAGGATCTTAGTCTGAATAAAGATAAGGCTTAAAAAGAGTTTATCTCCATCTAATATAAAGGTCCAAGATGAGTATTGAGCTTGAGTCCATTGAAGTGAGGCTTCTAATAAGATCAAGTCACTGCTGGTTATAAAAGCAAGGCACCCTCGTGGGTCTGAGATAAGTTTTTTCTTACGAGTTTAAGCATAATTTGCTATCTGTGAGAGATATTGAGTACTGACTTGATCGTCGGAGTATTCTCGAGTGGATGAACCACCGCCAAATTCTCATCTTCTTCTGCAGGTTGTTGGGCTTAATCTATTTTGCCGGTGTTCTCCAGCTGAGTTCCTTTGTTTGGTTGTGTGGTCAGAAATCAACACCCACTGTGAGTGTAACGTGATAATTAAAAAAAAATTAGTGTATTTTTTTCAAATGTGATAACATGGCGGGTATGGTGTGACACTTTAAAAAATTAAAAACTCTTTAATGTATTTTTTCTAAATATAACATGTGACACTCCAGTATGAGGAGTATGATATTACACTTCAAAAAAATTAAAAATTATGATGTAATACTCCAAAAAAATGAAAAATTTCTTAGTGTACTTTTCTCAAATATAACATATAACACTCCAACATGACGAGTATGATGTCACACTCCAAAAAAATTAAAAATTATGATGTGATACTCCAAAAAAACTAAAAACGTCACTACCCAAACTCGCCCCTATATGTTTAGCGCCGTAATCGGCCAGTAATCCTAAGATTACCTACGGCCTCTGAAACAGAATCATAAAATAAGGGGCTAGCGAAAGCAAAAAAACATAAATATAATCATCCAATGAGTTGTTCTGACTTATATGAAGCAGAATATGACTTTATATACATATCCAAAAAATCATTCTCACGTTACATCCACACACTTAACTATAGCATTTTAAGTACTACCAACAAAAACAAACAAAGTTTTATATACAGAAACAACAAGAGTTTATAACACGTGATACATCAGGAACATCCACGTGAGGCACAATGGTTGGATGACAGCAGAACACAGATCCAGACAAAAGTCTTCAGGCTTGATCTCCAGAACGCTCACCTATACATATATATACACGCAGTGAGCTAAAACCCTGTGAATAACATTAATGTAAAGAGGTTAGTGAACGAATTCTGAACATATTATATTCATAAAACAGATCCTAACATATTCAATTCTTATATCCGAACATAATAATGGTACATCCAATAGAACATATCACATCGTTATTTGACTAGAAGAATCGGTTCCGGATACGGATTGAACACATCACCACCTAAAAAGTGGCTAACGAGATCTCATAATCACATATATCTCTTGGACCCGCATTAACATGCTGTCCCCCATGACTTGAGACTATCTATGGATGCCATAATAGATTTCAAAAATAGGACATTCATTCATGTAAACAAATATCATTTCAGAAATCATAACTTATCAAATCACATTTGGAACATAATTCATATGAACATATCTTTACAATAACGTTACTCACAGTGGGCTTCCAGAAATGGTTGGTCAGCCTTCGAGTCCTGACCTACAAACACAAATGTAAATGGCACAAAACATGTCTCATTATCACTCATTCATATGGCCATACATGCCTTAGTTTTCTTACTTTAACTTCTTATCTTCCATGTCACATAACTTATTCATATTGGACCATATACTCGGATTCGACACATATTTTCTAATTCACTCACGTATGATGTTTCTTAGCTTATTAATCTGTAATGACTTATAAATCATGCCTAAGAATGCTCGGAAAGAGATGGAAACGAAGATATGTATTTAAAACATCTTTTGAAAACATGCTAAAAATAAGCTGTTGGCTAAAGCCAACTTCTCATGGCTAGAGCCAGCTGAAGGAAAAAACTGAGCTCGCTCGAGCCACCACTTCTTCGTTTGAGCCAGCTTTGTAGAGTTTAACATACTAGGAGCTTGTAATGTTGGCTCGAGCCATCACATGGTCGCTCGAGTCAGTTGTGAATTTCTAGGCACCAAGCTTAACAAAAATGGCTTCCAAACAACCTTCAAAACTTGGGGTCTTGCATGATTTGATCAAACACACAAAATAGCTTTAGAAAACTCCAATACAAGACCCTTAAAACATCTTTTATTCAAAAACTCATCAATTCTTAAAAAATTTGAACCAAAACTCCTTCATGTAAGATTTTTCAACTTTCCTCATGGTTTTTCATAACATGCAAATGGTAATCAATGAACTCATGAATTTCTGAAACAATGGACATGATTTAAACTCACATGCATGCAAGGACTTTAAAACTCAAACTTAAAATGATAAAATCAAAGATGAAATTAGCTCAATAACTTGATGAACTCATAATGCATGGAGGATTTACAATAGAAATTAGTCATAGAATTCTTACCCAAAGCTTTAATTTCATAAATGTGAGATGAATCTTCTTAGTTTCTTCAATCTCTAGCACAAAAATAGGCTTCTCTCTCTAGAATGAGCTATCTTCGTCTCTCTCTCTCTAGAATGAACTCTCTACTTAAAAAAATAGAAAGAAGAAGAGGAATGTTGCCTACATTCCGTCATATTTCAGCAGATACACACACACACACACATACTCTCTCTCTCTCTCTCTCTCTCACACACACACACATAATTTGAACATACAACACGTGCACACACATGCACCACTCCAACACACCCATAAGAATTTATCATATACACTTAACACCACCAAATGCACAACTCGAATTTCTTAGTACATCCACACAGATTTCTCAGCACACACTCACCTAAGGATTTTAATCCTTTACACTCCACATTACAAAATGCCTTAGCACATTATACACTTAATCACATCTTGGATCATGAATAGGAGTAGATTAGGCATAAATCATGCATCATCTTAATTAAACACAAGTAACCTTAATTAATCAGCGTTAGCACATGACTCAATTAATCCAAAATAGTTTCAATTAAGGCCCAATTTATTCACATGCGATTTTTACTGAACTGAATCAATTTTTAACAAAACTTCTCATATGGTTCCAAAAATTCTAGTTAGTCAATCCATGTACTCAAATTCAGTTTCTGAAAGCATTTAGGCTAACAATTTCAGATTCAAAGTAGAAATCATGATAAAAATATTTTCAAATCAGATAGATATGCACAAATTACCGCAAAGCACATGTCACAATTAATAATAACAAATAATTTCATTCTAAACACTTAATTAGCATTCTTAATTACGAATTAGTAGTTAATTACGGATTGGGGTTGTTATAAAAAATTTCTTAGTATACTTTTTTCAAATGTGACATGTGATTCTCCAACGTGACGGATATGATGTAACATTTTAAAAAACTTAAAAACTCTTTAGTGTAACTTTTTTTAAATGTGACACTCTAACGTGACGGGTATGATATATATAACACTAAAGCACATGTCACAATTAATAATAACAAATAATTTCATTCTAAACACTTAATTAGCATTCTTAATTACGAATTAGTAGTTAATTACGGATTGGGGTTGTTATAAAAAATTTCTTAGTATACTTTTTTCAAATGTGACATGTGATTCTCCAACGTGACGGATATTATGTAACATTTTAAAAAACTTAAAAACTCTTTAGTGTAACTTTTTTTAAATGTGACACTCTAACGTGACATGTATGATATATATAACACTACAAAACTCTTCAGTGTATTTTTTTTTTCAAATATGACACTCCAATGTGACAGGAAAAATGAGTCATTATATATCCAAAAGGACTAAATGGATCAAAAAAAAAAAAAAAAAAGATAAGGCTATATAGATTATAAGTTCAAAATATAAGATTTATTAATCAATCTCTATATAAAACATGTAGGGTAAATCATATAACGTAAACCTTACACTTACACAAAGAATTAAATGCTTTTAATAAAAAATATATATAATTTATTTATTTTATCCCATTTATAACACGACTGATTGATTGCTGATTTTTTTATTTTATTTTATTTTAATTGAAAAGATCTGCTCCATCTAGGGGGTGTGGTCGATTAGTAAAGTCTTGGAGTATAAATTTTGAGATTTCAAGTTTGACTCTCCTTGAAGTTAGTCATTCAAGCGGCATCACATATGGGTTGATAAGACAAATCTTCTAAATTTAAGGGAATTATATCCAATGTCATGACCTAAGGGTGATCTCTGAATTTAACTATTGAAATCACCTCTTTATGTAGTGACAGAATTTAAGAGTGACTTCTGAAATTTCAACTTCGTAAAATTTAATTTAAAGTCACCCCTAAATGCCACACGATTGTCTCCCCTGAGAACATGGGAGACGAACACAATAAATGACATAAAAAATAAATAAATAAATAAATTCAAATTCACTTAAAATAGCAATTGCACAATCACTAAAAAGCAATCGCACCATCACTGAAAAGTAGCAATTGCACAATCACTAAAAAAAAAACAATTGCATTATCACTGAAAACTAAAAAGAGTGATTAGTTGGCGCCTCACGTAGACAAAAATAAGAATAAATGGCGGTGACTTTATCTCAAAAGGGAACGTACAGACCCGAATTTATCTCAAATGAGAAGGTTTAGACTATTTCCAACGCTTCATCAAATTTATCATTAAATTTGAAATTTAGTGAAAAAAATACTATTTAAAGCTTCAACAGTTTTATCAAATTGATATCAAATCGAGAATTCATCAAACGTTTCACCAAAGTGAAGACAGGCTCCACATTTCACCAAAACACTGTGCATGACCGTTGGGGGAGACGAACCGGTCGACCAACCGGCCGGTCGACCATCAAAAGGTTCAAACAGTTCCAAAAAAAAATTCAAACAGTTAAAAAAAAAAAAATTTCCTTACCGGTCGACCACCACAAGATTCAAACAGTTCAAAGAAATTGGTTCAAACAGTGCAAAAAAATTTTTTCCTCTTACCGGTCGATCAACCGGTTGTCCCCGGAGCAAATTTGATAAAAAGTGAAGCGTTAGAGCCAGTGGTATTAAATTGAGGAAAACATTATTTTTTTCATCAAATTTGATGGCAAAAGAAGTTCAGAGTTGGAGATGCTCTTAGTTGAGGCCGATTTTAGGAGGTGACTTTTTTTTGTGGTTTATTAGTTTTTTTTTTAAATGTATAAAAGAAAATAATAAAATAATATAACCAAATAAACTAATAAGTTAATAAGTTAACTTTTTTTCTTTTTGTCAAAATAAGCCTGAAATTGAATTTGTTTAGTGTAAAATTCACATGTAAAATAAATCTAAACTATAAAATAATAATTCCAAATAAATTCCAATTAGTTGAATCTACATTTATAAGCTCCGTTTGGGAAGTTGGTTTGTGGACTTTTTTGGTTAAAATAGTCACAAAAAATAAAATAGATTTTTTAGCCCAATGAGACAAAACATCATATCCAATCTATAATCATTATATTCTTTCTCTTATAAAAAAGTCAAAAACTCTTCCCAAACTAAGTTTTTTAGTCCCAACCTAAAATAACCAAAAAAGTTAAAAAATTAAAAAACTAACAGAGCTAAAGTATCATGACAAAATAATTATCATTTTTATCACTTCTTATTATATAAGACTCTAATCTAGTAAAATTTTAGATCTTGAATTTGGTTTGTTTACTGTGCTGTCCCGAACTTTTTATATTCAATTACCTTGAAATTGGTTGTTGGTGAAGATCCCGTTGTGCTCTATGTTTCTGGATTTTAATTTATGGGCCAATCTGTGGCTGATGGTGAAGGTCCTGTTGAAGGAGCGTCCTTCACACGCGTGCCATGGATGTGTGATACATGCATATTGGTATCATGTGTTGATGTCCTTGCATGCGTTAAATAAAAATAATAAAAAAAACTACCCCTTCACCTTTTCATTTTAAAATTATATTTCTATTATAAATTGTTTTCTATTTAAAATAATGGAATATTTCAATTTAAGATAAATTATAAATATACCTCCTGAAGTTTGATTAAAATACGCATCATTCTCTGTAATTTTGAAAATTACATTTACCTCCTAAGATTTCTAATTTCATAACAAATCGCATTTTTTATTAATAAATTTTCAAGTCAATTAACAGTTTCTAATGATGTTAAAAATATGTTTCGATTAATAATTTAGGTAATTTTGTATAAAAGAACAATTATAAATTTTATTTTTTAATTAATTCTGTTAAATAAAAAATTCTAATGAAAGGGTATTTGTATGTAACGCCCCAACTTTCGGGCCGTTAAATACGTACGATAATACAACACGAGTAGAATAGATAACCAAAATATTTTAATATACATATATAACCAGAGTTAATATCACAAATAATTCGTTTATGTTCCACTACAAGATTACCAAAACATTGCCAAACCAAAAGAAAAGGGAAAAAAAAAAAACTAGTCTAAGTCTTTAAATGAACTATAGCTTCAACACTTCATCTTATTTGCCTTTGAGATAATCTTCACCATTGTAAATTGCTTCATCACCTGGCATGACACGCCACGAGCTTAGAATGCCTAGTAAAAACACACACACCACATATCTTCTATCAACGAATCAACCATACACAAAATAAATTGGGTAACAAAACATACAATAGTTCTATGAATTAGTAGTTAGACTAGATATCTAGAATCTCCAAAAGAGATCCTTCTACCCAACCATAAAGATTGAACACCGGACTATTCAGAACTCCCTCTTTTGCTGTTTTGCAGACCTTACCACCTATGCCCACTTCCCGGTTATTTACCGGTCAGTGACATTGATGGACCTCAAAAGGGACAGCCAAACAAGTGGGCTCGCTTACACTTAAATCGTGCCTAAGGCTCGCTTACACCCTGCACATACCATACCAAAGGGCTCGCTTACATCGTAAAACCACCGCATAGAGTTTGAATACATCCGTGTCAACCTAGGGGCTCACTTAGACCGCTTGCTCAAGACTTAACTCATTTGGTTTTAATCCCATCATAATTCATGTCCTTCATATGTATAAATTATTTCACAACACTAATGTGAACGTCACCCATTGCCAACCCCTTATCATTTCCCGTTTATTAGATCTTTTGCCAAGTAAGTTAGTTACATTCGGTAATTCGATAACATAAAAGAGCATGAGACAAACATAAGAGATGAAATATAGCACATGATAATCATACATAAGTATGGTAAGGCAAGCAAACAACATTTGGGATACTTTGAAATACTTGGAGACAAATAACAAAATAAAACACCATTTTCAGCACTATTCAGTTCTGCGGCTAACAAGAATGCTTTGGTAAAAATACTTCCAGGTCAAATTAGGGGCTGAAATTGCACAGAAACAATAATCAACCTATCTAGTTTCAGTTCCAATTTTCAAAATTTGCACAGCACCTCCAAAAATTCATTCACAAGCTATATTCAAAAACATGTCCAAATTTGTCACCCTTTAGAAAAACTAGCTTTTCTCTCAATCTACCTGATGATTTTCACCCAAATAAATTCTGTTGGAAAGAGGACTCAGAATTCTAAATTTTGACAGGAGAACCCACAAGAGATGATTTTTCTGAAATTTTATAAAATTGAAAGAAGTGGACTATTTTTCAGAGACTCAGGACCAGATTTTTAAACACAATATCCAAGCCCTAAAATCACACAAGGAGGGACTAATAAAATTATCACAAGCTCTAAACACACAAAATATCCTACATTAAATTCAGATTTGAGAAACAAATAGGTTTCATATTTCTTTTAAATTAAAGAAGTTGTAGTAGTGCATAACTTGACAAACTTGTATGGTAACATCACAAAACCAAACCCACACTTTTCATACACATCAAAAATCCTATTTACCATTAATATACAACATAAGAGGACATCTAGACAATAAGATGAGATAGGTGAAGGATTGGAGAAGATAAGGGAGAGATGTGTTCTTACCTTGACTCAAGAAAGCACATTTTCTTCCTATTCTCCATTTCCCCTCCCCCCCTTCTAATCACACTCTCCTGCTCTCACCCTCTCCTTGGCTGCTGAAATATGAGTGTGGAATTGAGGCAAGACTCTCAATTTATAAGCCATGAATTTGAGTTAAAAAGACCATTCTAACCTCTTGCTTAAAGACTAAGGAAAATCATAATGTCTAGATATTTTGTGTTCTACTTTGCTCAAATAAAGAATAAAATAAATAATAAAGATTCAAATAATTAATATTCAAATAGGCTAAAAAAAAATAAAATGTATGAATTAATTTCGAAACTAGGAGGTAAATAAATAAAAACCAAGTTTTAGGATATTTCCAATTATAAAGTGGTGTTCTAGGATTTAAAGAGAAATTTTTCACACTCAAATCATAATTCCAAAACTCACAAACTCAAAATACAACTCTATTCTCAAATCATAATTCTAAAACTCTATCAAATGCAACCTTAATATTTCTTATGACATAATTCACTGAATATATAAGTTAATCAATTTCAAATTTTAAACGTTTTATTTTCCATTAACAATTATAAGTAATAATTATAATCAATAATATTCTATTACAATTCATACAATTAAAAAACAATCATCGATTACTTTTTAATAATTCATCATATCAGTAATTTTTTTTTTTAGTTTTCTTTAAGAGTCTTTTTTTATCAGCAAATGTGATAATAAAAAAATAGGACCTATTTGATATTATTCTAAATTTTTTTGAAGCCTTTTTTCAATAAATTTTCGAAGCCTCAAAGCGATGGCTTGTTCTGCTTGTCCAAAGCCGGCACTGACTAAGCCCTTGTTTGGTATGTTAGTTTTAGGGGGTAAAACAGAAATAAATAGATAAAATATGTTAAAAAGTTAATAAAATAAAATATCATATTAAAATTATAATTATTATACTTTTTTTCTCATAAAAGTCAAAAAATTTAAAAAACTTAACTCAAACGAAACTTTTTAACCAATGCTCAAATAGCCGAAAAATTAAAAAGCTAAACCCACTTTCCAAATAAAGCTTAGCTTGTGTTTTTTTAAATAAATAATAAAACGGTAGTTTGCTGTCACAGCAACGCGGCACCAACCAATGATAAATAAATGGGCAAATTACATGTACCCCTCGAGATTTAATAAAATTACAGATATCCTTCTGAGGTTTGAGAAATTACAGATACTCCCTAAAGGGTATATTTGCATAATAAATTAGGAGACAATTTGTTATAAAAATATAAATCTCAGGAAATAATTTGTTATGAAAATATAAATTTTAGGGTGGTATCTGTAATTTTCGAAACTTCAGGGATATCTGTAATTTAATTAAATCTCAAGAGAGATATATGTAATTTGCCTTAAATAAATCTAAAGGAGTGTGGATGGGACAATCGCATTTTCAAAAAATTTTAAAATATTAAATATTATATTAAAAATTTTAAAATTATAAAGGTTTGTATTTTTAAATATACATTTGCAATTTTATAATGTTAATTCTGAATCTATCCCTTCCTCAGTCCCACAATTGGGTACCATTAAATTATAAGATAATTTTATTATACATATTCCATACATACTATATGCATATTTAGTTATATCATTTTCTTCTTGTGATTATTTTTATTTTTTTTTTAGTTATGGCATTAGTTTGAGATATTTAGTTATGATTTTTTTGTATTTAGTTATGGCCTTTTTTTTTAATATATATATTTTAGTTATGACTCAAAAAATATAAAATTATATCATTTTTTCAATAATTATAAAATACATATAATATACACCCTTTAAAATGTAGGAAAATTTACCAATAAATCCTATTTCACAAACTCTTAAACCAATTAGTCCCAACTTTATTCTTTTGTTCGGGTAAGTCCTATCAGTGGGGAAGTTTGTTACTTGTTGATCATATTTTCCATATTTGGTGCAACTGTGTGGACAGTTTTACCCATTATTGTTATGTTTACATATTCTGTTGGGGGATCACGTGGGTCTTGAGATTTTGTGGGTATAACAGTTGATATTTCAATCTTACCTGTTGAGACGTTTCAGCCTATGCGACTTTAGGGTTGTTAGTGGTGTGGGTCGGTGATTTACGGTGGCTGTGTGACGGACTGATTCAGAAAGTTTAACGGAAGTCGGTTCTCCGTTGGTTGAAAGGTATGTCTTCTTATTTGTATAGCATTTGCAGTTTTCTATGTTTTGGTGTTTTTGACTGAACGACAACAGGTGAGGGTGGGGGGTTATGTGGTGCATTTTTTGGGGTGATTTTTGGTAATTTTTCCGTGATTTTTTGTGTTAGGCTGGTATGCTCTGTTTTTTGAATTGCTTCCGTTGTGGGTGTGTGCCGCATTACGTGTTGGTGTAAAGGGGGTTTTGTTCAACCGGTGGGGTGAGGGGGTTGTGTGCTGCATTTTTGGGGGTTGGTTTCTGTGTTACAGACGTATGTGTTGTTGTTCGATTTTTCTATTGTGTGGGTGTGTATTGTTTTTGGTTTTCTAGTGTTTTGTGGGTTTTCTGGTGTGGGTGCATATTTTCTGGTGTGGGTGTGTATTGTTTAGGGTTTTTCTGGTCCTGATGAAGCACGTGGTAATCTTGTTAGGGGGATGGACACACAGGTTATGTTAATTTGTTGTTATGGAAATGTCAATGCCGCAATTAATTTGCAAGCTCCATTTCGGTTTGATGACATGGTTAATTGTGTGTGCGAAAAGTTTCCTGGGTTAACACCGGCCCAAGTGTGTTTGTTCTTCAAGATACCAGGTTATAACAATTTCATATTACATAATGATGTCGATGTGGAAAACATGGTATCTCTTGCACGGTCTTTCCGTCTGCAATGCATCGATGTCATCATTCAATTACAAGAGTCACGCGACGCTGACAATGCTGGCAGCCCGGTTCATAATATGCAGACTGTCCCGTGTCACACAGCGGGGGTGTGTGATGATTCGGACATGGATGACGAACAAGATTTATTGGAAAATTTCTGCCCTCACATTGATAAGGTTTTTTTGTCTGCTCCATGGGCTAATGGGATTCAACATGTTGGTCAAAGTTTTCAAGGTGGAGCATCTAAATTTCGAAATGTTCTTCGCAAGTATGCGGCTGAGTGTGGCTTTCTGTTCAAATTTGTGAAAGCGAGCACATTTGTGGTGTTGCTGTACGGACCCCCAAAAACCCTAGGGCTGGTTCCGATCTGGTGTCCGATGTTATTTGTGAATGGGTACGTGATAAACCACTCACAAGGCCTACTGATGTTGTGTATGACTTGAAAAAAGATTACGGATTGGAGGTTAGTTACCGATTTGCATGGTTAGGTGTAGAAAAAGCTCGTGGTGAAATGTTCGGTGCACACTCCATTTCGTTTGACCAACTACGATGGTATAGTAGCGTAGTAATGGAAAATAATCCTGGGAGTTACATCAACATTGAATATGATGAACAAAACTACCGTTTTATACGGTATTTCATATCATTCAAAGCATGCATCGACGGGTTCAACCATTGCCACCCATTGCTTTTCTTGGACGGGACTTTTCTAAAAAGAAAATTCAAGGGGAACTTGCTAGCTGCAACTGCGAAGGATGGCAACCAAGGTATTACTATGTGGTAATTATTTATATATTATATTCATGTGTGGCAAATGTACTTACATTGTTGCTAGGAAGGACACTTTTTATTCCACATTGGGGAGACCGTCATAACAATTGTTCATAATTTATGTTTCACAGATTGGTTATTTGACAAACAAATTAAAAATGCAGGTTTATTCCCTGTGGCCATTGCGATTGTTGATTCTGAAAACACCACAAATTGGGCTTGGTTTTTGGAACACCTCGCAAATGTGGTAAACCGGCAAAGAACACTTACATTTGTCTCTGACCGACATGCGGGCTTACTAGAATCGATACCCATCATATTCCCCACAGCGAAGCATGCGTTTTGCTTACAACATTTGCAGCGTAACTTGCAAGACAAGTTACGTTATGTGAACAGTTCATACCGGTCTGTGATGTTGGCTAAATTTCGTGCCTGTGCGTATGCTCCGACTGTGGCTGAATTCAACCAGAGTATGGAAGAGTTCACAAAATGTGGACGTAAGGTTGTGCCTGCTTTCTTAAAAGATTTACCCCCATATTACTGGGCGAATGCTTACTTCCAGTACGTAATTACTTCCTTTCTTTCCCGCACACACACTACATTCCTACAGTACATATTTCCTGTATCATGCATGCTCATTGCCTATTTTTTTGACTAACACATTTCATCCTTCTTCAAAAGCAGAGGTTCACGGTACGGTGAGATGAGTTCCAACGCCATTGAATCATTTAACTCATGGATACGGGAAGCACGCCACCTACCCATAACTCAAATGATTGATAGTATCCGGGGAAAAATTATGCGCCAGATGGCAAAGCGGAGACGTAAGGCAAATGCGTGGGCAGGTGCTATTTGTCCCAAAATGGAATCTCGGTTGGTCAAAGCGTACAACAAAGGTAGATCGTGGCTCGTAAGCCAATCAAACGATGACGTGTACGAGGTTCACTCTTTTCCATCCGTCATGGTCGATGTTGACAGACGTACATGTTCTTGTTTCAAGTGGCAAATCAACGACTTTCCATGTGCTCATACAGTCGTGGCAATCCGAAACAGTGGTCTAGACCTGTACCAGTTAGTTATTCCCTACTATCATGTGGCTGAGTACCATAATTCATATGCACAAAACATAACCCCCATTCCAACTGTAGAGAAACCACAATTTGACTCAGCAGATTTTGCCATACATCCCCCAGCTGTCAAACGCCCACCGGGAAGGCCCAAGAAGAACGCATGCTTTCCAAAGGGGAACAAGTCCAACAAATTCGGTGTGGACGTTGTCAACGCATGGGTAACCACAACAGGAAAACGTGCAAGGAACCAATTTAGCTTCTACACATAATTCGCTGATTCGCATTTTTGACAATAAACTTTCACAGTTTTCTTATTAAATAAGTGGATGTTCCACAATTCCATATGACGTCATTCAGAGTGAAGATTTAATGAACAATTTTATTTTTGATGCGTTATTCTGTTTACCTCGTCACTGTATTATTTACATCTACTTCGTATTGTAGTGCTATTAATTTCAGCACATACGCCATAATTCAATGTGTAGTTGCAACATTTTATCGTGATGTGACCACATCCGCAAACATTACACACAGATAATAAATACACCACAGAATTCCCTGCTAACAACCATGTTTGGACCATTTTCAATTTTGTCTGCATAACCATCATGCGGCCTATAGTCGTGTCGTTTTCCATCTTTTCCATGACTATAATTTTCGCATATATACCATGCCTATACATCAATATCTTTCAATTTTCGAGACCCAACTTCTATTACTACGTGCACATCAACGGCACACATTCTCTGCCCACAACTCAGTCCCACAAGTTTTAAATACAATCACACAACCTTACCTACAAACGCATGAAGCAACAGGCCAAACAAACAACCAAAATCATACTGCAAATCATACCATACTTTCCATTCAAAATGCGTAAAGCGTTATCCACAACGACTAGTACGTAATACCCACAAAAAATATGTCCAACATTTTCTAAACCTGAATTTTCAAACCACAAGTTCAAACCAACAAACATGTTGTTTCAAAAAACCAAACAAATTGCATAAACCAAATTCAAAAACCAGAAAATGCTGCGTCCGATTTCTTTCTCGTCACCGTTTCAGACCAAACACATCTAATCCTTCAGCCCCCGGGTCGGATCGTTGATGAAATACTTAACCATGTTCGCTCGCAACACACTGCAATTACTACCTTGCAATGTTCGCTCCACATCGCCATGATACACGTATTGTTGCATTATAGTACACACTATCACCCCATAATCAAGCTTGCACACAAAATAAGCACACATAATCAGCCACATTCATAACTGAATTGTTATAACTATAGTTCCCTTACAGTTACGACAACACTGTTACTTACGTATTCGATTTTTGTTGTCGACACTTAGTTATAGGCTCTAACGTTTGGCTGAAATTTCTCTCAATGCTCTGCTCATCCAGTCCGAACTGACGTAACAATTGCTTCATAACATTCGACACAAGTTCTTTTTGCCATTAAAAAAAATTAAAAAAAATAAACCACCACAAAACCAATTCAACAACCATCGTTCACACAAGTATTACCCATTCACACAACTCAAATTGTCTACACATATTTACCAACATAACAGCTTCGGTGTGGTGCACATCTGTCCTATTCCCACGTTGCCTCATCAGGTTGTAATGCTTCCAACTACCATCTTCAGTATCATATACTACAAGCGTCCAGTGGCCAAGATGATACATAGGAAAATGGATGAAACGAAACTCGCTCCCTGCAGACACATTCTTCCGGATATAATTTCCTATTGAACGCACGTCATTACTTTTCACCACGTCCTGCAAATACATCCTTGTCATCCAACATTACTACACCACCCCAACACCAACAACAAAAACCAAATAAATAAATAAACCACAAACTCACCAGGCACACACTACTGAAAAAATATGACTTGTCCACCAACTCATTGTCACCATACATCCTCAACTGGTCGGTCTTCAACAACTCCACGTACGCATCAACAACCTACCAACCACCATAACCAATTTTCTGAATAATGCTGTACTAACTACATAATTGTCATGATGCCACCGTTTAAAACGAAATTAACCACAAATATATGAATAGGGAATACAACGTTAAAACCACTATGTGTAAACACTCACATTCCCACGCATGGAGCTCTGTCGTACAAGGCTTTTCACATCACTGAAATAAACCACAACGCCATTCATATTGTCTTCCCACATGACCGCCCTGTACATAGTACTGACGTACATTATACAAATTTATAATTGAATGCAAACAACACAAATAACACTCAAAATAAATACGTACCCATCACCATGCCGCTCATATGCTTTGGTGATTCTGGCCTTCTCATCCATTGTCATCATCTTCCAAACCCCCAACCGGTTATTCAAATCAAACCCAGACCATTTTTTCTCAGGTAACACCACCGCTTCGACGTCAATAATTGCATTATGCACGTCATGTTTGCTGTCATCCACTGCGTCACAATTGTTTCCGACTGTCTTCTTAGTACGTCCAACCAACAGTGGGTAATCAAACTCAGGCATTTTTCGCTCCCTTCTAACTTTGTTCTTGATTTTACGCACATATGAATTTACATAACCCAATCCTGCAACACATTCAACATCACTAGTCAAGCCTTCACCTTCAGCAGCAGAACTACTGCTACCATAATGACCACGCAGCATCCCTGGTCTGCACTCCGCCACATTGTCCACCCCCCCTCGTCACCACTGCGTCCATGCTGTGGTAATATACGCAAAGGTGACACATCACAGAACATAACACCATCACATCCATCGTTCCCCACATTAACCACACCACTACTCCCAATATCCACGCCTTCCTGGAACCGTTGCGTTACGTCATGCACATCACGGTCCTCCAATTGGTCCTCAAGCAGTAACACTCTCTTCCGCAATTCGTCATTTTCATTTTTTAACTTACTCAACTCATCGTTTTTCATCTTCACCACACACTCAAATCCCCCTACTATGTTAACAGCTTGCAACTTCATCTTCCTCTTCAAACCAACAACTTCTTCTTCAAGCGACGACACCATTTTGTCTTTCTTTTTGTTTTGCATTTCAAGCTCTGCGACTGCAATTAGCGCCTCTTCTAAGTTGTGGCTACTCTCCCTTTCAATACCGGAATTGCGATCCACATGCTCTGTGAACCGTTTCACATCAAGTTTGCGGCCCTGCACCACCTGGTCATCACTTTCATTCTTTCTCGTCCCCTTTGCCATGAAATGCTCGTCCACACCGTCACAATCCTCACCTCCGCCATTGATATCTGCGAAACCATCTTCCTCCGTCTCAATGTCTGTGCCCATAACTTCACGTTCATAATCAAAAGACCTCAAACGGTCAACTTTAACCTGCAAATAATTAAAACACATCATAATAAATAGTTACATCTTATTCACACTAGTACAAACTTTAGTAATAAAGTGCATAACTCAACGCAACAAGTTACCTGAAAACCAATTGGACCAGCCAAATCCACCCCTTGAATTTTATTCATTAATGCCCCAATGTCCCATTTCAGGAACCTCGGAAACATGTTGTCGGTTTGAGGCTCCACTATGTTCGAATGTTCACAAAACCAATACTACATGAACAACAAAACAGAAACCAACAAATCAAGCATTTATTGATTAAAAAAATGAAAACAAAAAAATTGCATACATTCAATAACTAACTACTGTCCAAATGTACACATACCAGCAACGCAACCACGCAGCCTGTCACCTTCCCTGGGGTACGATGAAATTCCTTGATTGACGCCATCAATGTTGTCAGTATAGCTCCAGTCCAATCATACATCCTAACGGTGCTCAGGTCGTTCATGTAGCGCACAAAAGCCCAACTGATTGTCTCCCCAGAGTTAAAGAAAAAAAGCTTCCCACACATGTACAGCCCCAATAACTTCGCTGTGTCTTCATCATCTTGTTTCTTTTTTCCATTCAAAGCCTCTAAAAAAAACGTTTTAACCAACTTCGACGTCAGGCGCGCAGCGTCACGACACCTACGTTGAATGAAGTCCGACACTGGCCGCTGTCCGGGTGACAAATCTAAACGCCGTTTCCCGCACTGCAAACCAAATATTAACCTGATGTCGCTGCTCCCGAATTTGACACTGACACCTCCAATGTTGAATGCATTATCTCGCTGATTGTATGATCTTATAATCTTGGCTATAAGATCATCACACTTCCTAAACTCGTTATGGTTCAAATTGTTCATGTGTATCGCCTCAATCATAATCCAAAATGGTGTTTTCCGTAACTGTTTCAAGTGTGCGTCCCTCAAATTTGCCTCACGCACAAGTTTAACTATCCCAGCAACATTCGAACGAAAGTTCATCCGCGTTTGTGTCTGCTGCGGGGGGGGGGTGCTACTATATCCTCAGCCACTTTTCGTCCAACCGCATTGCTCACCCTTTTCGCCTGCTTGAACAAAATGCGCCCCTGCATTTTCACACCCAGGTTGTTCCCCTTTGAACCATTACCATCATCAGCCTTTCTCCGTTCACATGAACGTGTCCACGGACTACTTCCCCTTCTGCACTCTGCCAACAAAAAACAATAGTTAACACAGTTAGAAAACCAGATTCGCCTCACAAACATAACACCCACCCTTTATCGTTCATGTCATGCACCAAAAACACTAAAACACACACCCTTTACGCCATACATAAGTTACACACAACCAACGTTACTAGCATCAACAAAAAATTCCCACAGTTAACACAGATGAACAACCTGATATGCCTGGCAAACATAACACCAACCCCTAATCATTCATGTCATTCACCAAAAAACTAAAACACACACCCTTTACACCGTACATACGTTACACACAAACAACGTAACTAGCATTAGTACTGTCAACAACACCATTTCAACTCTATGCCACACCCATATTACAGACCACAAACCTGCGGGACACGCATTTCACACCAACATACCACTCGTCCCACAAAGAAAAGCAACACGACAGTCATTCACATCAGCACCTCACAGGTACTTCACAATTAGTTTCACAAATCCCAGCAACAGGACACAGAACAAAAAATAAAATCAAAACACCATTACACATCCCACATCCCCACACCCCACATATGTACATCACGTTCACAAACACAACCCTAAAACATAAAACCCTAAACCACGTCAGAAAGTAACACACACAAAAAAAAAAATTCAAAACCCCGCACATCCCAGCCCCACCACACACCATTTTCTTCCACTTGTGTGGTCCCAACGAAGTTTTACTTCCCCACATGGCAACTACTTGTCAGCACTTACACCGACAGAGGCCACACACAAGAACCCCACACAAACCCCACACCCACAACCAAGTACAACCTTCCCCACATCATCAGCAACACCAACCCACCCCAACACACAAAAAAAAAGCATCACAACACACATAACAAATCAACGACACAGACAACCCCAAAATAAAGATCGAAAAAAAAAAAAAAAAAAACTGCAATCGGGTAATCAAACCGAATAATCAAACACTCACAATCCACATTGTCACACAAAAATTACAGCAAAATGATATGGCACATACCATTTTCGGCCATAACTATACGGCCACAACCAAGGACTGCGAAATATGAACACTAGGGTTTCGTCGTCGTCCACGATTTGCCCTGTCACAAATACAATGGCACAACTAATCACAGCAACAAACGGAAATTGCCCACTCAATCTTTATAATTTCCCCCCAAATCACGCGAACGGTATATATGGTCAATCCCAATTTCGAAATCCAAGCAAATCGCAAAACCGAGGGTTTCCTATGTCACGTTTCCACTTCACTGTGTGTGGGGATGTGGATGCTTAAATCGGGTTGAGTTTTTAATGGGTATGGGTTTTCAATATGTGGAATACGTGGCAACCAAAACCCACAAGCGTTCTCTACAAAAACCCTTAGTAAACTTTTCGCGTGCGTAACAGCCAAATGTGTGACACGTGACAAATCTCATGCCATTTTAGCTGATCTGTGACACACGCGCAAGCCACGTATCGCATGAAAAATCCACATATACTAATGGCAATTGGGTCCTTTCACAACAAACAGAACTAAATGGAGCATGAAAAAACATTTGGGACTAATTAGATTATAATATCAACATATAAGATTTATTGATAAATCTCCTTAAAATGTATATAACATAGTCTTTCACTAAATTATGATATAAAACGATTTGGTTATAACGTGAATGTAGAAATGTATTATAATATTACCCACACCACACACAAACAAAATAATTAAAAGTTAAAAAAAAGATAAGTGTACCGTTGATTTCTCTCTCTCTCTCTCGTTTGTTAAAACAGTTACCACAAATAACAAGTGTCTTAAAAACACACATAGGCCAAGTTTGACAATTACTCAATATAATTAAAAAATTAAAAAGTAGCTACCCAAAATCAATTGTTTTTTATGTTTTTTATATGCCTTTTTCTAAAAAAATTAAAAAATTAATTCTCAAAACAACCCTTAAGTTTAATTAATATTCTATCTGATCTTTGTTAAGTCACTTGCCACAATTAACGAGTACCTTAACAATTCATTTAGGTCATATTTGTTTGGGTAGACATGAGCTTAGAATTAGATTAATAGTTCAATAAAATTAGTAATCCGGTGTTTGGTTAAACATATAAAGTACGGACTACTAATCCATTCGGATATGGTATCCTACATATGATGGACTATTCAATTCCACTGAGAGAGGTGGGATATAAATTAGAGGATTAAGCCAAAGTTTAAACTATTAGTCATTCCTTATAATCTTAACTCTATCCAAACATATGACAAGATACACAATCTAAAGAGATTTGTAGTCCTAAAATTATTAATCATAGGAATGCTAATCCAATCAAATCTAGTCCACCCAAACAAATATGGCCTTATAGTTTTACAAATATTCTTTCTCTCACGTTTGTTAAATCTTACCACAATTAACAAACTTAACAACTCGCTTAACAAATATTATCTCTCATGTTTGTTAAACCACGTGCTGACAGTATCTAACTTACCACAATTAACATGTATCTTAACAACTCACTTATTAGTACCTCAATTATTATCTTGTTAACTCACATGCCACAATTTACAATATCTAACTAACCACAATTAACATATATCTTAACAGCTCACTTAGGCATCATTTGGGAAGTGATTTTTTAGTTAAAAAGTTAAAAAATTACTAAAAAAATTAAGAAACCAACAACTTATACCAAAAAGTCAGAGATTATTTTTTCTTTCTACTTTTTGCACATCTTTTTATAAAAAATTAAAAATTCCTCTTAAACATACTAATTTTTTTTTCATCATATTTTAGTTAAAAAGTTAAAAAATTACTAAAGAAACTTGTTCCCAACGAGGCCTAGTTTAACAAATTTTCTCTATCACTTGCCACAATTAACATGCATAACAGCTCCACTTAGTTTAACAAATATTCTCTTTCGCGTGTATAACAGCTCATTTAGTTTAGCAAATATTCTCGTTTGCCACAATTAACATGCGTGTAACAGCTTACCTAGTTTAACAAATATTCTATGTCGCTTGCCACAATTAACAAGTATCTTAACAGCTCATTTTTAGTTTAACAAATATTTTAAGTCACTTGTCACAATTATCAATATCTATCAAATATTCTGTCGCTTGCCACAATTAACAAGTATCTTAACAATTCATTTGATTTAACAAATATTATCTCTCATGTTTGTTAAGTTACTCGCCACGATTAATTAGTATATCTTAAAAGCTCACTTTTTAACAAATATTCCCAATTGGCATGCTTATGGAACGAATAATTAGTATGTCTTAAAAGCTCACTTTTTAACAAATATTCCCATTGGGGAAAAAGTTGTGATAATAATAATAAAAGAATAATAATAATAATTGGAAAC